AAGACAAAAATCACAATGAAGACATATTGAAAGAAAAAACCATGACCTAAACAAAGAGAAAATGAAAACAAAACTACTTTTGCCACCTTCAGTCTGTGGCTGTGGTACTCTCTTAAGGCCACGCAAAACCGCATGGCGCAGCGACGTCACCGCCATCATTTCGCCGCACACCGCGCAACAGACGAGATGAAACAATGCAACGCCAAGCCTCGCGCACGCCGCCACTCATTCCGCCCCCCGCTCCCCGGTGACACGCCGCATTTAATGCCAGCGGCGCATGTCTTCCTTAACCCCAGGGCACAGACTCGCGCAAACGCACTTTGCAGCGAGGCCACGCAAATCCGCACGGCGCAGCGCCGTCGCCGACGTCATTTCGCCACGCAGTCTGCAACAGACTATAGATACGACAATGCAACCCGAAGCCTCGCGGGCGCTGTGGCACCGAGACCGCCCCAAACCGCATGGCACCGACATCACAAACGTGATTTCGCCACACGGTGCGCCACAGACTCGACGCATAGTAGCGCCAAGCCTGCTCCCCAGCGACACGCCGCGTTTACACCAGCGTGCTTTCCTTCCCCCAGTGGTGCGGACTCGTGCAAAAGAATTTGGCATTAAGGGGAAGTATTATTTTACCTATTTTTACCGATTTTGCTGGGCGTTGTGTCTGTCGCATGACATCCTGTCGCCTAAAAGAAAATGAAAAGGGGTGCTGGGCTGCGCCACAACACAGCAATATATACATATATATTAACAAGGGGTTTGCCAAGGACCCCCAAGAACCAGCAAGGACCCTTGTTTGCGGTCCTTGTTTGGGCCTTGCTTGGGCGGCCCTTGGCTGCAAGGACTCGTTTGCAAAGTCCTTGGCCCAACCCAATGCCAATCATTAATCATTGACACAAGGGTCCTCAAATCTTAGAAAGATAGGACCAGACACAACAGTGAAAGTTAAAGGATGTGATTTGTGCGCACGCTTTGTTCACACTTGCGATGTGGAATGGCTTCAAACTGCAAAGCTGTCCTGACAGCCATTTGAATGAGGAGAAATTCAACTGCCCTTTACTGGTTGCGTTCCCATGGCTTCTGGGGCAGCCTGGGCAAAAAGATACGCACTTGCTTACCTGAACCAAATCCTGGCAGAGACCCCAAAGAATGGGGTGGGTGAGGAATCCCCCACAGCTGAGCGTGCGGACAACAGTATCCCTGGATGGTACCCACAACCTGACAAGGTTCACAAGACTGATTGAGCGAAGGCGAATGAGCTGCTTTTCTATCGCACAACAGGTACCTTGAGCCAAATGCTATGGCATTGAATGCATTGCGTAAGAGCACCATATAACTGGAGCCAAGTTGAAAACAAAACAGACACGAATTTTCTTTTCTCTGAAGCATGCTGGTCTCAGTGCTATGTACACAAAAGGCTGCAAGACAAAAACTGTACAAAGCTGCCACCCACGAAGGTTCATCTACTGAATTTGCTAGAACGGTACATCGCGCTTAGGACGAACGAAAAGCATGGGAAGGGCAGAAATAACCGCATCAGCTCCTACCGAGCATCTCGGGGCTCGTCCTTCCGGACCCAATGACCACCGCGCTCGGATCTTGATCTCTCCTGTGCACTGGCATGGCGGGTAGTTCGGCCTCTTGATGCGTCAGCTGGGCTGCTGCATTCCGGACCTTGATTGGGCTCTTGTATTCCGATCGGTGATTACTTCGCTTTGGCAAGTTCACGCCATCTTCAACTCTTCTTGGCCACGCCCCAAGCGCCATCAGGAGCAGAAAACAAAAATATGTGGGCGCGAGGGTGACCAATGTTTCCCTAGGCACACAATTTCAGGCTTCAGTGCAAGCCACCGTCGGGACAATCAATCTTTCGCAGTTCCCGCTTCCAAGGCTCGACGCGTGACGTTTTTTGTCCATAACTGCCTACTTGAACCACACCGGCTCGTTAAAGTAACTAGTGTTTTCGCCAACGAGTTCGTGACGGTGCGCCACATCACAAGTCACGATCTCATCATGGCATTTTTGCGCCAAGCCCAAAATCGAGGTCCAGGCAGGCAAATGTTGCTTTTGGGATTCAGACCACCACCGCAACTTCGCAGTCAGCTGACACCAGGCCGGCCGTTCCCCTAAAGCACGGAAGGCTTATCCAAATAACATACTGAGCTGCATAACATCTAGGGTCTCACGTGACACAGCAACGGTTTGTAAGGCCTGCCCCAACAGAGGTGGTTCCAGAAGCAATGCCTGCGGTGTCGGTGAGGGTGGGCGAAAGGTTTCTGGAAGGTCTCGCAAAAAAGAACCAATGAACCGTTCATTCCAAATGGCAAAAAGGCATCCACCAAGACAATGCCCAGAAGTGGCCAGCCTGATTCTTTTCCTTTGCCTGGCGCCACTGCTCACGCAGATGCAATTGCAAACCGAGCACGGAACACGTAGAACATGTAGAACACGGTCGCACTGCCTTTTTCAATCTTTGATTGGAAAGTTTTGAGCCGCTTTGAGGCCGCGGCTCCCGGTGTTTTTGGAGTTTTTCTCCTCTGACATCACCTTGTTTGGCGCAAAGGTCGTGGCCCACGATTCCTGGCGCGCGACGGTTCCAAAATCCCCGTCGCTACCGGTTAGTGAGGTTCACTCCCCATTTGATCCAAAATTTTGCTATCTAGTCTACAACGACTGGTCACACTCAAAGGTCTGCACAAGTCATTGTATCTGAAAAGTGCAAAAGGAGAACCACGTTCTCGGAAAGTTATCTATATTGAATGGCTCTGGAAGTCATGGTTTCCAGAAGTGTCTGCGACGAGTTTCGAATCATGAAACATTTATGAAACAAAGGTAACAAAAGCACACCAGCACAGATCAACGCACGATGTTCTTTTCTTATCGTGTTTTCCTTTGGCTTTGTCCATGCACAAAAATACAACAGTAATCATCAAGCGTGAAAAGCAACAAGAACAAAGCCAATTTTAAGAACGACGTGAAACAAACACACATAACACCGCGCGCTTTTCTGGCCGTTTTTGTTCTGTTCAAAAGATCTGCCACGTTGGACTTCAAATCTTGAATATGAAGGCGGGTCATTTTTTGGGAGGGGGGCAGGACATGTTCAACAAATGGTTCTGGCCAGGAGTCCAATTGTTGCACTATCATCGCATCGGTGGACTCCACTGAAGGCAATATTCTTACAACTGGAGAAAATTCAACGTACGTTTGAACAATTTTCTCGTGTGATGAAACTGATTCAGGAAGTTTGCGGCCTCTATCAGGAGTTTGTTTTATTGATTGAGTGTTTTGTCACATCCTTGGGTTTTTTGAAACAGCCTTGACATGATGTGACAGGATTGGTATCCAAACTGCGACATGTCCATGAAGAGCCGAGAACGAAGTTCAGCAAAACTCACGGAGTGTGGACCTTAGACTGTATCATCGGCTGGTTGTTGATTTTTTGTAATTGCAAGTTTTGTTGACATGTTATGATCATGTAGATTTGGCCATCGATTGTGAATACGATTTAGCATTGTTGTTGTATAAAAATCTATTTCACTCATATGTTTCGAATGCACCGGTGGGAATTTAGAGTCATTGACGATGACGCATGACTCTAAATAATTGTGTCATATCAAGTACTATGTCCGACTGCTTGGGACTGATCACATGAAAATGTTGTCATCGGGAGGGGTCTGACGGTCTACCAACAGCACCTACAAATGAGATGACTCACACGCTTCGATAAATCCTACTCGATAATCCGGGCTCAGAAAGAACCTGTTTTCTTTTTCAGTTGAACTAAAAGTTTCGTGCAAAAAGCTGCGCTTCATATGAGAAATTATCAGACACAGCTTTTTGACTTGCCAGGTGTCACTGCCTACAAGTCGGCAATGAGCTGCACTAAGAGGCATTGAAATTCATTGTCGCATCAAGATTGGGTTGACGCACAGTAGCAGACCTGGAATCCTGGGATTCCAACAAAGAGGTGTAGTTCGCACGTGAAACAACGCACCGCGACGCGCGCGCGGGTTTGACAGCGAAGGTCGGAGCTCAAGACGTCTGCGGCCAGTGGGACTCATGCTTTGGTGGACACCGCAACTGACATGTGGATTCCTTTTCAAGTTCACTCAACTCAACCCCCAAAACTCTAGTCCACCAAAGCTGGTCTTCATGCGGCGCTCGCTTTGCTTGCCCCGCTGCAACACTTCAGCTTCCTGCTCAATCCTCATGGATGAGGTCTTTTGGAGCTGGATGAGTGGACCAGCGCGCTCTCCCTCCAATTTGGCCAGGGCGTCACCTACATTCAAATTGTGCGGGATCCATCTCAGTCGCCCCCCCACAATCGACAAACTCTCCTTGACAATTGCGATCTCCAAGGCTGAACGCTCATCATCTCCGTAGCACTGGTCCGAGCAGAGGGCATCGAACAAGGACTTGGCGTCCACAATCACCACGGAGTTGGGGTTGACCCGCTGGCAATGACAGCGCTTTAACCCATTGCTGCCAGCTGTTCATCCTCTGACTTCTGGCGCACTCTTGGCTTGAAGTGCGACATGCGGATGCTCTCCATGAAGGCATCCTCAAGGGCGGCTGTTGCAGCTCGCTCTTGCAGAGCAAGCTGGAAGCGGCTTTTCTCCTCAATCGCTTGGAGCGCCACTGCATAAGCGACACTGGAGCCTCTCGTCCTTGGTTCAACCAAGGACTGGTGAATCCAAGCAACCAGCCGTGCTGCGAGCGTTCACGTCCGCTCGTGTCAAAGCTGCTGTCAGCCTCAATGCTGTGGATGACCATCCTGATGGGGCTTGTCTTCACATGGCGAACCATGGCATCGGCTGCCATGATGTGGGACACTGTAGGTTCTGGAAACGCTGAAGCCAGCTGCGTTTTTTCGTTCTCGGACAATTTGACTTTCGCCCAGTCCTTCTTCAGCGCGTGATCGGCTCTGTAGACGAGTGTAGATGAACTCGTCCATGTCGGCCTCAGAGGAAAAATCACGCAGGCCTTTGCCGGAGTCGTCGTCCAGCATAGTTCGACGCAGTGCTGCTTTGGAGGTTGTCCACCTTTCCGAACGTGAGCATGCTTTCCATCTTGGTCATCAGTTCAAAGTGCCTCGCAGATCCAGCTTCAGCAATGTCGTCGGCTTCAATGACGAGGAAGCCTTCCGTGAGCTTCTTGCTAGGATCGGCAGAGGGCAAAGTGAGCACGCACTTGTCGTAGGGGTTCACCTCAAAGCCCAAATCTTCCGTGGCCAACTTGAGCAAACTGCGCCGCCAACATGATGGTCCGCTCACCAAGCCATAGAGCTCGGCGCACAAGAGCAGCAATTGGCGAGGATCATATCCTTCCAGAGATTCGTCACGGGGTTGCCGAGTTGTTGGCAGAGCTTGAAAAAAGGCGGTCTTGACTCTCGAACTCTTGTCTGCCATTTGCGAGAGGCAGCCAACTGAAGACAGCAATGCAGGGAGGTTGACAAAGGAGTCGGTGAGGAACGCTCCACTTCATGGATTTGAGGGTCCTACCAACCAATCACGCATAGCCGTGACTTTGGGTTCGTCTGGTCCTCCTCCAATGCAATTGCTTCCAACATGCCTTCGTCAAAGGATACGCCCTGCGAGCCGACCTGGCAGCTTCTCTCCAAGGTGCGCCTCCATCTCCTGCAGCGCGTGCAGCCACATAGCTTGAGAGGTTCTCCGACCGATTGCGCTCGGTCCCATAGAAAAAGGTCTCGATCGCAGCAGCTTCCAGGTAAGGACCGTATTTGGTCATGATGGCCGTGAGGATGGCCGAGTATCTCTGCAATCCTCCTCGGCGGTGACTGGTCCGAGAAGGCTTGAAGGAGTTTCATCCCCCACTTCTGCTTTGGGAGGTTGTTGTCCATCTCCCAAAGCGTACCGACGTCAAAGAAGTTCACATTTCTGTTGGCCCCAACGGCGATATCGCCATCACCATGCGATTCGACAATGAAGATGGACTTGGGTTCAATCGCAGATTGATTCCACATGTGTGGCAAGCATGGTATCTTGGCAAATGCGCAGACACTTTCAGTACCACCACGAAAGCCAACGTCCAAATTCATCATAAATACAGAACGCGGACATGGTCTCGTCTGACAACCCGGTGCCACGCTACGCGCAAACGGTGTGACGAACACATCCACCGAGGCAAATCTTCATTTGAAGAGTTGAACACAACATGAACCCCCTATGTTATGGACGAATCACCAGTTGGGAAGAAGTACGTGGAAGAAGGATATTCATTCGTTTGGGCAGCGAATACTACACCCTACATGAGATCACCTGAACACAAGAAGATAAATGCTCGAAGTCGAAGGAAACATCCCTTACAATGTGAAAGATACTGATCTCTGGGTTCCCACAAAGGATGATATTGATATTGATATATTCTTAAATTATATATCAAATCTCATTACCGGCAAGATTGGCAACGGTTGCCGACCGGTGTCTGTCGATCATACTATGGAATCGCACCACGTCAAACACAGCGGAAGTCAAGATCACGCAATTCTGAAGAAGATAAAAGAAGAAAACACGCAAGAATCGCAATCAGCTAGCGCGACCTCATCACCTGGAGAAGATGAAGAAAAGGAAGAACCTGAAGATCATGTTCCTGTTGTCGATGGAGCGAGTAAGATGGCGATCTTGTCGTGCATCAGGGCCAAGATGAAACACTTCAAGGCACACACAGGTGCATTCAAGAGAAAACCTAAGGTATTCAAGAATTTGGTGAGGTTCGACTTCATTGATACCAAGAGAATAACGGAATACAACGGATCAAGGATTTGTTTCTGAAAGAGAGATCTTCGCGATACGAGATCGCTACACAGGTATGATGTGTGCTAATCCATCAATGGAAAAGTACACTGCCGATGTTATCAATGCAGTCAACCACTTCAAAGGACTGAAGAAGATCAAGATTGCCTATGCGAGATTTGAAGTAGTTATAAAGCAATTGAAATTCCATTCGACCATTCATTACCGCATCATCCCCAGGACAACTCACTTGCTGAGAGAAATCAGTTCATGATGACCACCACAGCCACACGTATGCTCGAGGCAGGTCTTCCACCATGTTTTTGCAATTGGCGCGGAGCCACTTATTGAACATCGAACGCGGAGAAGACGATGGCGCAAAGAGTTTCACGGTGAGAAGGTGCCGTTTGAAGCAAAAGCATAAGTTCAATCCCAAAGGGATACCGGGCATCTTCGCTGCCTACGAGGTTGTAGAGATCTAGGAGCATTGAGGTCCAGAGAGGTGATGGCGGTGATGAAGGTGGAGATCGCGGTGATGGTGGCGGCGGTGGTGAGTGTGAGGGTGATTGTGAGAGTGAGGGTGAGAGTGTGAATGAGTGAGAGTGAGAGTGAGTGTGAGTGAGAGTGAGAATGCGAGTGAGAGAGTGAGAGGGTGAGTGAGTGTGAGTGAGTGTGAGTGTGTGTGCCGTTGAGAGCGTGAGTGAGAGTGAGAGAGTGACAGAATGAGAGAGAGTGAGAGGGTGAGAGCAAGAGTGAAAGTGAGTGTGAGTGTGCGTGTGAGAGTGAATGTGAGTGTGAATGTGAGTCTGAGTGAGGGATAGATAGTGAGAGTGAGGGTGAGTGAGAGTGAGTGGAGTGTGAGAGAGAGTGAGTGTGAGAGTGAGTGTGAAAGTGAGTGTGAAAGTGAGAATGTGGGTGTGAGTGAGAGATAGTGAGAGTGAGTGTGAGTGAGGGTGAGGGTGAGTGAGAGAGTGAGAGAGAGAGAGAGAATGAGGGAGTGAGAGTGAGTGAGTGAGAGCGTGACTGAGAGTGAGAGGGTGAGAGAGTGAGAGGGTGAGAGTGAGTGTGAGTGTGAGAGTGAGAGCGGGTGGGCGAGTGTGAGTGTGAGTGCGAGCGGGTGTGAGTGTGAATGAGTGTGAGTGTGAGTGTGAATGAGAGATAGTGAGCGTGAGTGTGAGTGAGAGTGAGTGTGAGTGAGAGTGAGGAGAGTCAGTGTGTGTGTGCCCCTTGTAGTCACACGGATCCATTTCGAATGTTTGGTTGACTTTTCTCTTTTCTTTTTCAGCAGGGGGACACAGCATTTCACTGGGACTGTGTCCAACGAAGCTACCAGTGAAATGGGATATCCAGCTTGGCCAGCCGGACGTACCTGCAACAATTTTTAAGTTTCCGTAAAGGGCTAAAGCACTCTGCAGACAACAGCGACCGCCGTCACTTCGACCTGTTCGTCGCTTCGTGGCTTTGGAATTTGGGCCTTTAACTAAAGGCGCTCAGGCCCCCTCACCTGGTTTTTCATTTGCCAAGATTTGCTGAATTATTGCACGCCAAGATGGCTCATGCCTTTACGTGACCGCACAGCGGTCTGAGCAGCCAGCCATTTTTGCACGGCGTACGTGGCCGTAGCGGCCCAAATTCGTTTAGACTCATTGGAGTCTGTCCCATACATGCAAACGAGGCGAGGTCTTCCTAGGTGTTTCTAATGAGGTTCGGTTTCATCGGTTCTCGTCCCCTCCATTTGGTTCCCTTTTCATCCTTTTCCGCTTTTACACACCTTTGGTTTCCTCTTTTCTTTCATGTCCTCCTGTCTTCATGTCAGGTCATCTTATCCTTTTCTTCGTTTGCGTGCACATTGGTCCCGGCCTTAGTGCGTACGCGCACTTCTACATACAGTTTTTACACAGGTTTCAGGTCGCCCAGGTCTTTACAATGAGGTGGGGTTCATCGGTTGTCCCTGTGCACTTGGTGTCTCTTTCATTGCAACCACACACCTTTTTGTCCCGTCTTGTCCTCCTTCTCATGTCTTCATCCTTTTGTCTTTGCCGCGTGCACATTTACACAACCGTCCTGGCCTTAATTCTTTTTGCCTCCCTTCAAGGAGGCGTGCGTGTGTGCCCCTTGTAATCACAGGGATCCGTTTGAAATGTTTGGTTGGCTTTTCTCTTTTCTTTTTCAGCAGGGGGACACAGCATTTCACTGGGACTGTGTCCAACGAAGCTACCAGTGAAATGGGATATCCAGCTTGGCCAGCTGGACGTACCTGCAACAATTTTTAAGTTTCCGTAAAGGGCTAATGCACTCTGCAGACAAGAGCGACCGCCGTCACTTCGACCTGTTCGTCGCTTCGTGGCTTTGGAATTTGGGCCTTTAACTAAAGGCGCTCAGGCCCCCTCACCTGGTTTTTCAGGATTTGGTTTTCTTAGGCTGGCGTGTGGCACCACTTTCAGCTCCGTACACCCTATCCTAAGTGCGTAACCTTTGGAGTCACATTTTTTCCCTTTACAGCAGGGGGCGTGACGGTCGATTTCCTAGTCACGCCAATGAAGCTATGGAAATCGACTGGGTGGAAGTTTGGACGCAAACTTCCGTACCTGCTGTTTAAACTGTTGAACAGCTGCTCGCTGTCACTTTTGTTTTGCTTGCGCATACTGCCTACCACCTACTAGCGACGGCCTCCAACCTTAGGCGTTGGCCTCCAACTTCCTTGCGGTGGCCTCCAACCTAAAAGCGATGGCCTTTAACTTACTACTGGTCACTTTTGTTTTGCTTGCGCATACTACCTACCACCTACTAGCAACGGCCTCCAACCTTCGGCGTTGGCCTCCAACTTCCTTGCGATGGCCTCCAACCTAAAAGTGATCACCTTTAACTTACTACTTCTCCTTCTGGTATCTCAGGCTTTTTAACTCAGGCTGGCGTGTGGCACCGCATTCACACTTCTCTCGCGCGTAGCGTACTTACATGCAAACCAGACTTTTGCAACAGGTTTTTCAATGAGGTTTGGGCTGTCATTGGTTTGTCCCCTTTCACTTGGTTCCCCTTTCATTGGCCCCCACAGATGTCTTCCCTTCTTTTCTTTCATGTCTTTCTGTCTTCATGTCTCTTCATCCTCATCCTTTCCTTCTCTTGCGCGCACTTTCGTCCGGACCTTAGCTTGTACACATACACCCACGCGTATTTTACTTACGACTAGGATCAGGTGGCCCAGGTTTGTTACAATGAGGTTTGGCTCATCGGTTGTCCCTCTTCACTTGGTTCTTCTTCATCGGCAACCACACACATTTTTTGTCTGTCTCGTCTTTCTCATTTTCATCTGTCTCCTTTGCGCGCGCATGTGCTTCGCAGGACCCCTTTTCCGGGCAGGATTGGGGCGCCTCCTTTCCGGGCAGGATGGAGGCCACACATACCTCCCTTCGGGCGTGTGTGTGTCTGTGTGTGTAACCTTTGGAGTCAGAAGGTTCCTTTTGGATTTTTTCCCTTTACAGCAGGGGGCGTGACGGTCGATTTCCTAGTCACGCCAATGAAGCTATGGAAATCGACTGGATGGAAGTTTGGACGCAAACTTCCGTACCTGCTGTTTAAACTTTTGAACAGCTGCTCGCTGTCACTTTTGTTTTGCTTGTGCATACTACCTACCACCCAGTAGCGACGGCCTCCAACCTTAGGCGTTGGCCTCCAACTTCCTTGCGGTGGCCTCCAACCTAAAAGCGATGGCCTTTAACTTACTACTTGTCACTTTTGTTTTGCTTGCGCATACTACCTACCACCTACTAGACGGCCTCCAACCTTAGGAGCCCCCAACTTCCTTGCGATGGCCTCCAACCAAAAAGCGATGGCCGTTAACTTACTACTGGTCACTTTTGTTTTGCTTGTGCATACTACCTACCACCTATTAGCGATGGCCTCACACCTGAGGCTTTGGCCTCCAACTTCCTTGCAATGGCCTCCAACCTAAAGCGATGGCCTTTTACTTGCTACTTGTCACTTTTGTCTTGCTTGTGCATACTACCTACCACCTACTAGCGACGGCCTCCAACCTTATAAGGCGTTGGCCTCCAACTTCCTTGCGATGGCCTCCAACCTAAAAGCGATGGCCTTTAACTTACTACTTGTCCTCCTGGTATACCAGGTTTTTTCCCCGGATAGCGAAGCTATGCGGTTCTTACTTCAAATAACAATGAGTTGCCCGCGCGCGCTTTCGAGACAGGTTGCTGGTGCTGGCGCTGGGCGCCGGTGCCGGCGCTGGTGCTGGTGCTGTGAGCTGGCTGCGCACGTGGTGGAGACAGGTTGCTGGTGCTGAAGGTGGGTGCCG